CCCCAAAACCCCAAAACCCCAAAACCCCAAAACCCCAAAACCCCAATTTATTTAATCATTATCATAATTTGATAATTAAAATGGACAACGCAAAGATCCAGATTGAGACAAACGAGAAGTTTGTCGTTGATGAGGAGGAAGATTGGATGGAAGCCCTCACTTGCGGATGCCTTGTCCAAAACAGAAAGTTCCAGATGAATATCAACCCAGCCATGACTGTCTCCAGAGAGATTGTTACCATTGAAGAAGATGCTGATTTCCTATGTAAATGCCTACTTGCTCCCAGATGCAGAGCTTTCAAGGGTAGTATTAAAACGTAAGTTTGGCGTTTTTCAAAATCTTATTAATGACACAAAAATGCATTTCTCCAAGAGAATTTAATTTTAAAACAATATAAAAATCCCTGATCTTTTCTATTAGGAAATCTTGGGCTGCCAGTCTGCCTTTCATAAGATTCTTCCATCATGATGTCAGCATATCTTCTGTCTGGAGATAACCCCTTTTCCTTGCTATTTCTGACATCCTAGTTCGTTAGAAATTTGACCATACTCAGATAGTATTATTAAAATTTCGCTGAATTTCGTTTCCGTAGTTATAGTAAATCTACTTATAAAGAAGCCTATTAGCATGATCGTCTAATGATCTTACCGCCATCTTTTTAAAGAGTGCTAAAGGCTTTAGTAACACTCATTGACCATAATTGCATCAATAAATGAATTTTCATATATAGTGACGGAGGAGATCTTATGTTTTCATACGAGAAGCCATGCGGAGTCCCTCTCTGTATGTTCTGTAGACCAACATTTGATGTTTTTGACCATGAGAAGAGAAAGATTGGTACTATCAAGAATGAATGCAATGTTTGTGAAATGAAGATGATCATCCTTGGAGACGGTAAATTCCCTTTCTAATCCATAGGCGATCAGCCTCTATACACCATCACTGGAACAATGTGTAGCTTAGGTTTCTGGTTTGAGCCTTTGCTCGGCTCCTTCTTCCCCTTGACCTTCGACATTAAGAACGATAGGACCAACGGAACTGTGATCTCTCAGTTCAAGAAGGAATCAAGAGGTTTCTTCATCGAATGTTGTCTAAATGCAGACAAGTTCAGCATCCAGATGCCTCCTCAGATGAACTACCATGAGAGAATCCTGCTGGCTGCAGCTATCCACCAGATGAACATGTTGTGGTTCGAAAGAAAATCTCCATGCATCTTTTTCAACAGGAACTAAACGAAGAGCCCATAATTGAATCAGAGCTAATTCAGGTTTAATTCAATTTTATTGCTGAACCAAGGGGTTTTGGGGTTTTGGGGTTTTGGGGTTTTGGGGTTTTGGGGTTTTGGGGTTTTGGGG